CTCATTAATTCATATAGTGTGAGTATGCAAATGAAGATGAAGTACAAGGCTATGTATTGAAGGTTTTCTGCTGAAAAGGCTTGGTCCAGAGATTCAATCCATGCTTGAGCCAAATTCAGAGGTCTCCAAAGGTTGAGGCAAGTTTGTTTTACCATTTTACAACTGCAAAACATATAGTCTTGCTCATTTTCTTGCTGTAGTTGAGTTTGATGTCTCAAACCACATTTGTTGATTGTTTTTCTAGTTTAGCCTTCTATCATATGTATGCATGTTATATTACTGTGAGTTGAACTCTTATCATTTGAGGAAGTTTCTATAGTTGATTCAAGACTGTACAAGTTGATTTTTTTATAGAGAAATGGTCAAGTTATGTTTTTGCCTTTTGAAACCCTAATTTTAGGGTTTTCTGCAAAATTAGTCCTACTGAACTAAGACTTTGATATACCTTGCTTAAATCACTAAGAATATCGTTTGAGAAGGTGTATAATATTGGTATAAGGTTGAGGGTGCCATTTTTAGGTCTGTGACAATACGAAATTCTAATTTTTCCCTAACAAGCATAAATTCTACATAATGATGTTGTGTTGCTGTTGTTGAAACTTTAAGCTGTACATTCACTCATATCTTGTGTAATAGCTTAAGTATTATTATAATTCATACATTTTTATGTATTTGGTGAACTGTGAGAGCTTATAGGGTCCAAGCAGGGCTGCTTAGGATAGGAGGAGTGTCTGTGTGCAATGTTGTGAGCTAGGATATGTGCAGAATGAGAGACAGTTGAGTGTGTATTGTAATACACCTAATTTTCTTGTATTTATTTAATTATTTTAATTGCATTTTTATTTAATTATGTGGCTATTTATTTAATTGCTTTTATATTTAATTGTATGTTAATTGATTATTTGTTTTATTTAATTATTTTATTTGAATTGATTAAATTAATTTATGTTGGCTAAATATATCTGCATTTTTATTTGCTTCCATGTGATGTGTTTTTGTGATATCATCGTTTTTTAAATGTTTAATTGTATTATTTAAATGGTTTGTTTATTTTGTTTTATTTTTATTTTAAGGATTTGGGTTATAACCCATGGACCAACTAAATGGATCTTGGACTATTTGGGTGGGATCCTAAATGAGTTGGATAGTGTGACCCATGGAGATTAGTAATTATATATATATAATGAGGTGTATATATATCTATATTATTTTCATTAAAAATAATATTTTATTAAATTAGTTACCTAGTTTGTGAATTGTTAGATGTATGTTAGGTTTAAAATATAGGTAGTATATTTTATTTATATATATACATAGAGAGTAGATTTAGAAAGAGAAAGAGGAAAAGAGAAAAGGAAGAAGAAGAAGGACCATTAAAGAAGAAGAATAAGAAATGAGTTTACCTTTCGATCCAAAAGTTTAACGCAAGTTCTCTGTTCTACACTTCTCTCTTAGATCTGTGACCTATATGTCTCTAGTATAACTTTAGGGATGTTTAAAAAACTATTAAAATTGGAATCCATGTTTACATTGATCTAGAACATAAGATTTGATGAGTTTTTGTTCATAGTTGTTCTTGTTGTATGAATTAATAAATTCATGGCTTAGATATGATTTTTAATGGATTTCTGCGTGCTAAATTGATGTATTTTCGTGCTTGTGTGTTGATGGGACTTAGTAACATGTTTTAGGACCCTTAACAATGGAGAAACAAGGCTTAAAATTGGATTTCTCATGCTATTTCACGAAACAGTACTCGAACACACTATTCTGGGAAACAGTGCTCGAGCACACTAAGGAGGGTGCTCGAGCACCCTCTGGGGAATTTTGACAAAAAGCTTAATTTAACCCCGAATTGATTATTTAAGGTTTCGAACACTAAATAGGGACTTAGGTATGATGATATGTGAATTTAAATAGCCATGAATACAATGACATATGCAATTTAAATTTATTAATAAATAATTTATGATTTTAATCTTTTAATTTGTTTTAACAATTAAGATTAAATGTTTAGAATGAGATGCATTTGGAGAATGTTTACTTGGCTGTAAAATAAAATATCAGCATGCTTAAGATTCAGTTTATGTGAGATACATGATGTAGGAAGCTTAAATAAATTATAAGTCATTCATATGATTTGATAATATGAAATTATGATATGTGTTGTTATGATATGATATAATTATAATCAATTACATATATGTATTTTATAACTTGAAGCATGGTATATATATGTGTTTGGATTTGTTTGAGGAGCAATGTGGTTATATGTAGGCCCCATTGTTAGGATTTGGAGGCCTTTTGTGGATGAGTTGACTAATAAGTTTAGACTCATTCTATGTCAAACCATTGTCACAATATGGATGACATGTCATTGTTGGGGTATGGCTATTACTTATTTTTATAACTTCCAGCCTGTTGTTAGGATATAGGCGTGGTTGTTATATGTTAACCATTGTCAGGATATGATTAATTATATCTATAATGATATTATGTGTACCATGATACAAGCTTGAGGTCTTGGGATCAGTGGTCAGGATTGAGGCGTATATTGCCGAGTGAGATGGGTAACTGAATTAGGAATGTGTGTGCCCTAGTAGAAGGAGGACTCGTGACTACCTTTGTGTGCAATTTGTATGAGAAAACCTAACACTAGAAGAAAACCTAATTTTTTTTGCTACACTTGGCAATACACATATTTATAATAAAAGAAAACCTAACATTAGAACAAAACTAAAACATAAAGAAACCTAATAAGAACAGGAAAATAACACTACAAACAAGCCTAAAAATAAAATTTCTCTAAAAATCATGAGAAAATAGAGAAAGAAACCTAATAAATAAAAAATAATAAATCTAAAATTTTAAAGCAATCCGAGTTTGTTAAAGCCTTAAACAAAAATCCCAAAGTAATTAACAAGCCTCGTATAACACAATAAAACACAATTTTGGAGCTTAAATGAAGGTTTTTAGCCGAAAACCAGCATTGCCCACAAGTTAAAGCTAGTGAGTTTTTCTCAATGCGTCGTTTCCTTCCAAAAACCACTATTGTTTTGTCAAAAACGAACTTGTCAAATTGCTTGTTGAACTTTACAGAATTATGTCCTACATCCGGCTAATGAAGGTGTTAGATGTAAGTGCTTTCCAGAATTGACTAAAGTGGGCTTTCAGATACTTTTTGCTTTCGAACATGTCTTTCGTACTTAGAGCATCTTCAATGGGCTTTTCGAATTTAGGCTCTCTGAATTTGCCACATCAGCGTTTTTTAATAGCCACCTCAGCATTTTCCAATAGCCACGTCAGTGTTCTAGGGTCTCCAAATTTTAGCTATTGGATGTACTCCTATAGTACATTTTCGTTCTCCAAAAATATTCATATTTTAATATTTTTTTAAATTTTTAATAAAATTAATTTTTTAACTTTTTCGTAACGACTATATTTTTAAAATGTTATATCATAGTAGGAGTTGATGTATTTATAGAGGAAAAATGAAAGGTTTTTTTATAAAATAAATAAATATATATATATTTATTTTTTTAAAAAAATTCAAAAAATAGGTTTTTGTGCTAATATAGCCGTTAAGGCACTGTTTGGCTTAAGGCATTCTTTTGGTCAGCCAAACAATGCCTAAAATGGCTATATATCAGTAGGAAAATTTTAAAAAGTAATTTTTTTTAAAAAAAAAAAACACTTTTCTCTATTTTTGAGAGGAAAAAAAAGGAAAAAATAAAAAAATAAAGAGATCAAAAGAAGCCAAAATTTTGTTTTTTTGCTTTCTTTTTTTCAAGCAAACATGCCCTTAAAAACAGTGTTCTAGCTAAAACACTGTTATGAGCGAGAATAAAAAAAATATAAACAAAAATGATGCGGTCCCGCATGGTAGGCCCGCGACTCTCCAAGAGGGTCGCGATTTTCAGCAACCCATTCCGCGACCCATTGGGTGGGGCCCAATTTTTGGCGATGCTATTAGAGGAGTCCAATAGCGAAATCCGGCCCAGAATAGCTGGATTTGAGACCATTGGACCTACTCTTAGAAGGCTAGAGATGAAAGGGGCATACCCAAGAATCAAAAAAGTCCAATCCCATCAGTCCCGTATAAGATTAGAAAAAGAAAAATTGTGAAGAAAAATGGAATACAGAGCATGAAAAAGAAATAAACTACAGAGACCATAATTAGAACTCTAAAAGCAAATTTTCTAGAGATACAAATAACTAGGAGACAATGTGTCGGCTAATATAAAAGTATGAGAACAATTTATAGATGAATGTATATATAATTGACACATTTAATCATTATGCCATTAATTTTCAATAAAAACGAGTAATGGCGTATTTAGTTATTTAGCAATAAATAAGAAATTACAAAAATAAGAAAGAAAAATGTGATCATAATGAATACAATAGCATAAATACTTACCCTCCCCAAAAGTATAGATGAAGGTACAATTGCATAGATACAAAATATAATTTGAATTGAATAAATACAAAATATGTAAACAATTGATCCGATTCACACTCAAGAGAGACCTCCACAATCACTACTGGGTTCTGTTAGCCCATCCATTGGGCCTCTGCAACCACCAGGATTGCAAATGCTTACTTATGATGAATGCTCATGAGCTCACGACTAACCATATTCGACATGGGAAGTCAAGGACTATTGAAGGCTTCGACCCAAAAATCCAGGATGGAAGAGGTGGTATCCACCTCTGCAAACCTGATATGCTGATAAATCTACACCATCAAAAACATCAGGACAATAACTATAGGTATTAAGCTGGGTATCCTTCTCCTCTGGTTCATATACAATGTGGATTCCTAACTCCTTTACTTGAAATCGGGCAACGCACAAAATCGCTGAAACAACCACTTCATCGCCAACTTCCAACTGATTCCCAATCTTCCAATGACTTGACCATATCATATTTTTCCCGTCATCTGGAATCCCTTCACACACCGGGGTATAGGCCCACTTGACATCCTTAGTCTTATTAATAATACATAAAGGTGTGTAAGGACTTGCATAAACGACGCATACATTCAAGCCTCGGATCTTGAGATTAGGAAGTGAAGGAACATTGAAACATATGGAGGACATTGTAGTACTCTTTTTGCTGAACCAACATGGAACCTCATTTCCAGGATGAAAAATGCTGACTATACCTAGGGCTGCAAATGAGCCGAGCCGAGCCGAGCTTTAGGCTGTTCGGGCTCGGCTCGTTTGTTTATGGGATCAGCTCGGGCTCGAGCTCGGGCTCGTCTTGATTTTAAAAGCTCGGGCTCAGCTCGGGCTCGGCTCGTTTAACAAAAAAAAATAAAAATAAAATTCAAAATTAATTAGTATTCTACAGGCCACAATACCTTTTTCCATTACTTTATCAACTATCATGTAAGCAAAAAGAAAAAGGGCAAAAAAAAAAAAAAAAGGTGCAGTAGTGCAAGCTTTTATGTTTCAAGAACAAATTAAGGGTTAATTTCGAAAAAAAAAAAAAAAAGGACAAAATTGAGCATGAGTGCATTATGCATTTTCTATGAAAAAACAACACATCAAAAAGTTATAAATTCCCATGATAATAATATCTATAGAACCACTGAAACATTGTATATATTAAGTAGAAAAAGAAATCACAGAGGAAAATAAGTTGGAGATAAATTAATTTAGTTACCTGTGGCCATTGAGCATTAGTCTCCATAAATTTAGAAGAAGCAGAAGAAAAGGCTAAACAAAATTGTCTGCAACTGCCTAAAAAATGTTTTGAGGTTGTCCAAATCCATGGAATTAAAGTGAAAATAAAGTTTTGCCAAAAAATTAATTGATGCAGTACCTAATTGATGGCGAGGATAGAGGATGGCCAACGATGATGATGAGGATGGAGGGACAGCGGCACAGACGACGGCGGGAAACGGACGACGTCCATGGCGAAGACAGAGGACCGCGGCTGACGATGACGATGACAGACGATGCGTTTAGATCTGAGAGAGAGAGTTATGGTGATTGAGTTGATAAGAGAGAGACAGAGAAGTAGTTGTGCAGATGGAAGGGTTTTCGTCGCCAGTGGAGTTGATTCGTAACTCGTGAGTGAGTGATAGAGAGAGAGTGACTGACGATGTTGTGGAGAAGAGGCAGATCTGAATGGTGGGGTGTAGTTTTAGGGTTTTTTGATATCTTACAAAATCAACGGATGAGATGGGTTCTAATTTAATGGGTGAGACGAAATCTTATTTAGGCTATGGATCTATGGTGGATTTTCTTTGGGCTAGTAAGTTATAATGCTTGGGCCATATTAATGAAAAATATGAGCTGGGCCAAACTTAAAAATAATATGGACTAAACATTTTAAATGTACAATAAAAACAAATGGGGCTGATATATTTAGAATGGGCCTGATATATGTAACGAGCCTGATACGAGCTTTGTTCACGAGCCTTAACGAGCCCATGTTCACGAGCCTATGCGAGCCGAGCCCAACGTTGCTCAGGCTCGGCTCGTTTAGTAAACGAGCCTAGAAATTAGGCTCGAGCTCGGCTCGTTTGCTTAATGAACGAGCCCGAGCCGAGCCCTTAACGAGCTGAGCCCGAGCTGTTCATGAACAGCTCGGTTCATTTGCAGCCCTAACTATACCGCATTCATACAGTACCTAATCCATACAAATCATCATAACTTCAATTACAATAGGAGAGACAGAGACAAAGACAGAGAGAGAGAGAGCACCTGGATGGGACCAATATTGCGCTGTTCTGTCAGGCGATTGAACAATTTCACCTCAACCTTTCCCATGGATTCCAACTCAACCAATCCCCAATTCTTGATCATTTCTGCATCAATGTTACAAATAGGTTCTAACCTGAACAAGTTCTAAACCTCGACTAGTTTTTCACATCCAAACGCATGCATGGACAGTGAGCTCAATAGATTTGGAAGATTTATCATTACTTCCAGTGACCTACAATCTTCTAAAAACAACATTTGTAAACTCATTGGTAGCTCTGGAAGCAATTAGAGTCTTTTGCACCTTCGTAATTCAAGTGAGTGGAGCATGGTGAGTCCCTTAATGCTCTCTGGAAGGCTACTGATTGGATTTCCCCCTAGATTCAAGTTCTGCAACAGGGACAGGCTACCAAGATCCCTCGGAATGGCATCATCTGATAGATTACAGTCTACAAGACTCAAGCTTACTAATGAGCGTGGCAAGCAAACCAATGAAGAACTGATCGATTCTGGAGATTTTATTGGTCTAGAAACCCAAGATAACCAGCGTGAATTCCATGATTTTATGTAACTACTAGTAGAGGGTGGTAGTTTTTTTGCAACACCATCTGCATGAAGAACCTTTAAAGATTCCATCTCGCACAGCTCTCTCGGCAACTTGGCAAGATTTGAGCAACCAGAGAGGATGAGTTTCTCAAGTGATTTTAGCTGACCAATTTGTATGGGAATATTTCTAAGATTCTTGCAGCCTTTTAGATTTAACTGAACTAGTCTCTCTAATTCCCCAATGGATTTATGAACCTCGATCAAATTTATGCAATCTTGAAGATTCAATCTCACAAGATTAGGGAGTTTTGAGAAATCGGGCGTATTGGTAAGGTTATGGGAATGACTGAGATTGAGGATTTGCAATGATTTGAGCAACTGTGAAAAACAAGAAAGTATAAATATTCATATTAACCCCCAAAGAAAATAAATTGTTCTATAAAAAAGTTATTAAAAAAAACCAAGAAAGTTAGTATCATACCTTTTTTCCATTCCAAAGTTGTTTTAAGTTATTGTTACTCAGGTCAAGAGCAACCAGGCTCTCCAGAGGAAATTCACTGGGTATAGATTTTAAGGAGAACCCACGCCAACACAACCATCTTAACTTCTTAGGAAATTCTTTGTAGTCTCCAGTTAGCATTACATTATTGAGCTGGAATAGTCTTAATTTTTGCATCCCTAAAAATGCATCAGTATTCAAGCCTACTTCATTTGATGTGGAAAATGATTCTGTTGAGGCAAAGTGTGTGGGGGCCCATGAGAAGCCTAGACGGCGGCGCTTTGATGATTTGCTTCCAAAAGGCAATGTTAATTTGTCAAGAAAATCTTCAGAACGATGCCTTTTTGAATTATATAAACCAAAGAAATTCTTAGCAAGCCGATCTTGCTCATATGCATGCAAATTTAGGATGAGGCCTTCGATTGTTTCCGTGCCCTGATAAGCGAGGTTGATAAGTAACAGAACAGCAAAAAAATAAAAACAGACATTAGAGGGGTGTTTCTTACTGATTTTTCTGTTAATACATTGAAAGCATCCTTATGATGCCATACTCTGCTGCACTTCCCAAGTTCTTTGGGTGATTCTTGCCGGACAATCTCTCTTCCCATTTCTTGAATCAATTGATGCATTACTATATTGTTATTTTCATCGATTGTTAATAGACATCTATCGATGAGATTCTGAATCCCAGCCTTTGTTTAAAAATCACATTCATCTAGTATTGTAATTATAAAATCTAGGTCCTTTCAAACAAAGAAACAAGAAATGTAAAGAAATAAATTTTTGTCATGGTCATCTTGTAAAGAATCAAAGCTTATTTTGAGCTTTTTTAGGATCTGGCTGTCAGGAATTGCTTCCAGTTTCTTTATTGCACTCTCCCACACAACTATGCTTCTTCCGGATAGAGAAGAACCCAAAATTTGAAGAGCTAAAGGATGCCCACCACAATACTGTACAACCCTTTTTGTGTGCTCCATATAACCTACAATGGGATGGTCTTGTCCAAAGGCATGCCAATTGAAGAGTTGAAATGATTCATCATTAGTCAAATCCTTAACTACATGTTGCTTGTGCAGTTCATGTGCCTTCAGCAATTGTTCATTTGTAGTTGTTATGATAATTTTACTTCCTCGTTAAAACCAACTCCGCATTGCGAGTACAACATTTAATTGGTCTCAGTCATCCACATCATCAAGAACAAGTAAAATTCTTTTGCAGCAAATAGCTTCTCTTATCTTTATGATTCCTTCATCAACATTGCTAATTTTTATTTATTTTCCCTTTAAAATATGTGAAAGAAGTTGTCTTTGTAAGCAGAGCAGACTACTGGGTTCTTCTGATGTTTCTCTTACATTTGCAAGAAAACTGCTACCTTCAAATTTGTCAAAGTTCAGGTTATACACAGTTTTTGCAATGGTTGTTTTTCCTATTCCACGCATCCCACAGATTGCCACTATCTCGACTTCGTTTGATCCATCTTGCAACCACAAATTAATATCTTTTATACGAAAATCTAATCCAACTGGGTATGAACAGACACTCAATATAGTGCGATTCAATTTGCTGCCAATATCTTTAACAATTCCTTGAATAAAATTTAACTCATACCTACAAATTGCAAACTCCTTGTCAGCTGAAATGAATCAAGGAGTAAATGAAAACGCAAACAAGAGATAATAATGATTTCTTGGATAAAAATTGACTCGAACCTCTAAATAGCAATTGGAATAGGAAAGGGAACCAAAAGAAAGAAAACAAATATGATGTATGTTGAAATGAATCAAGAAGTTAAATGAAAATGAAATATATGTGTATATATATATATATATATACACACACAATAAGTTTCATGTTTAGTTTAGCCACTACCACTCTAATATATTCATGCAGCATGTTAAATATTGTAAAATCTTGAATTAATAGAATTACAGTCAGTGATTGTTAAAAGATATTTATTATAAAGGAAAAAAGGTATTTGTAGCAAAATGCAAGAATATCCACGAAATTCCGAATCTAGCATGAGAAAGGAATTTCAAGGGTTTCTTATTGTTCACAAACTAGAACAACATTCCATTCTTAAAGTTTAATCTTCTAATTTCTATTTATTAATTATTGACTTTATTCTTCCACGTGATTTCATGTCATTTAAAACATCTAGATTTGATTTATTGAAGCAATTTAAATTCATGTTTTTAAAGTAATATATATAGAGAAAAAAAAATGTTAGTCCTACAATTTTGGATACATTTTCCATTAGTCTCTTTCAAAAGTTAATCTGAAAATTGGTCTTATTCTGTTAACCAAACCATTACTCTAATGAGTACCAACTATTGACAGAAGAGAGTTAACAGACTTAGTAAATTGATTAAGTATCTAAAGCTGTTAAGATTTTGTGACTCAGGACCAAGCCTATTGGCCTTAAACTACTTTCTGGACTGATCCAATAAATATTATCACACCGAGGCCCACGCCATAGGTTGAAGTAAAATCAGGTTATTGGGCTTTAACTTTGATCCATGCTCCGGGCTTGTAATCGAGCTCAACTATAGGCCTAAATAGGGCTTCAACCTATCACAAATTGAGTTAATTTGAACCAATAACATCCGGACTAAGTTAATTCAGACTGATAACAGTCCTTTATTGAGAATAATTATTGAAGATTTAACGGTGGAGAAAATCTTCAATAATAATTCAGGATACATAAATATATAAACAGACAATTGTCTTTAATAGTTAGTAAAATATGGTACAGGAAAAAGGCGGGCAAAGAATCGTACGAGTATAACCGATTTTTTTTATAAAAAAATACGTTACAAAAGTTAGGCTTAAAAAAACGAAAACGTAAAAATAGGAATACGGATGTATCATACGTTGTATGGACTAAAAATTTGACTATACACATATTATTTTCTTATACTTATATCATAACTTTGTAATAAAGAACATCTATAACAATCTACAACCATCTATAAAAATCTATGATTTTCCAAAGTTAGAAACTTACAGCATTACACAAAGTATATATATATATATATATATGTATGTTTCATTGCTTTGATTAAACACCATATATTGATATTGGAGTGACAAACATAAGGGGTCTAACAAAAATAATATAAAATTAATAATAATAATAATAAAAAATAAAAATAGAGAGATAACCTGTTTTTTGCCTTCAACGTCGAAGGGTCACACCTTCCCATGACTGTACAACAAAGAATGATTATTTTGATGGGATAATGACTATTCGAAACTGTTTGTGGGTTAAAGAAGGTGTTTGAGAAAAATACACGTGCAGGAGAAGAAAAAACAATTAGGTTATACCCAAAATAATAAAACCACTAAACGTATTACATACAAGAGGAATTAAACAGCGACTCAAACGTATTAAACGCGTTACATACGCGGTGGTGGAAAAAAACGCATATTCTACCGTATCTTTCAAACCTGAACGGCAAACGGAAGTTTTTTCCAAAAGAAACAGTACATACACGTATAAGCGCGAATTTACTAACTACTTATGATTACCTACAAAAATATATTTGTAAATTATTAATTACAAATATATATATATATATATATATATATATATATGTGATTAATAAGGTTTTTTCCGGTAATTATATATGATTTATAAGTTAGTATTAGTATACTTATATACTGAAGTGTATATAATACTACCAATTATCATTTATTAGGTTTTGATGTAAATATTTAATGTTATTATACTTGTTTCACCATGTTGATCTTAAACAGTGATAATGGGTTGGAGGAGATCCGGTGTCTTAATAACTAATTGTAAAAGCACACCATATGACTTTAAGACTGCATTGTCTTTATAATAAAATTAAATTAGGTTTTTTAGAAGCATGTCCAACCAAAAGAATCGAACACGTCTTATGCCCATGTTGAAACAATGTAACATCGTACATGGGTACTTCACCAACTTTTAAAGACTCCATGTAACATAGTTTCGAACATCTCAATAGAAGACTGTTTGGCAACATTGAAAAGAGCGCAACGACTCTTTTAACAAAGGCCAAATGGTCCTTTGACTCTTGGAGTTCGAAGCATTTCTTATATTTTCTCTCTTTCCCTGTCCACCCTTCCATTGGCTAGGTAGCCATAATCAAGCCAAATTCAGCTGCATCTAGAATGAGATCAATTGTGCTTTAACCCAATCCGGACCAACATCAACACCTAAGTTCCGGCCTATTGTAACACTCAATTACTTAATTCATCAGATTTATCCTTTGGAATTATCCAAACAGGGTCTAAATATAAATACAAAAACTACTTTTCCTTCTTACAAATTTTCCTAGCTCGAATAAGACAGAAGTTCCCTTCATACTCCAAAACACTTGTGCGAATAGATAACCTTGTATGGGTAAACGTTGGCTAACAAGAGATATATGTATTGTTATATATACATTCTCATGATCTAAGGCAAAATCTCTACTCTCACTGGGGTTTATGGAAGCAAGGAAAAACTCTCTTTCCCCGTCCACCCTTCCATTGGCTAGGGAGCCATAATCAAGCCAAATTCAGCTGCATCTAGAATAAGATCAATTGGGCTTTAACCCAATCCGGACCAACATCAACACCTAAGTTCCGGCTTGTTGTAACACTCAATTACTTAATTCATCATATTTATCCTTTGGAATTATCCAAACAGGGTCTAAATATAAATACAAAAACTACTTTTCCTTCTTACAAATTTTCCTAGCTCGAATAAGACAGAAGTTCCCTTCATACTCCAAAACACTTGTGCGAATAGATAACCTTGTATGGGTAGACATTGGCTAACAAGAGATATATGTATTCTTATATATACATTCTCATGATCTACGGCAAAATCTCTACTCTCACTGGGGTTTATGGAAACAAGGAAAAACCCTATTTGAAACACCTCTGCTCTTCAATTATTTGTGTAGTGTCCTGGATTTTTCGGCATTTTTCTTTTTTATACATATTTATTATTACAAAGCATCAGTTTACGTGCCACATGGGTTCCGAGGGTCGTTTAGGGAATTTCTTCGAAGTTAGAACTCTTAGAAATGCATTATGATGCGTTTCACCATTTTTGGGTTTTCAGGACCGAGAGGTCCCGTGTGGGCCCAAGGCCTGATTTCCATGCTCGGGAATCTTCCCAACTTCATTAGTATCTTAGAAATGCATTATTGGTGTAATTATATGTATGTACATGTGGGTAGATATTTGTTATGGCATGGTGGTAGTTGTAAATACACTTGAGGGGTATTATGGCAACTTTGGTAGTCAAAGTGGGGACCACCATTTGACCAAGTTGAGATGAAAGGACCAAAATCTGAAAATTGGTCTCATTCTGTGTCCTATCTCTCTCTCCATCCAAGATTGGAAGTAGTTGCTCTAGGATTTAAGCTTTGTGGTAGAAGGGAAAGTTGCTCTACACTTTAAGAGCATCATTTTGGTACCAATCTTCAGAGAATTTGGACATTTTCGTTTTTGGAGCACCTAGGGCTTTGATATTCATTTGAGGTAGGGGTGTCTAACCCATAAGCCTTTGCCTCTTAGTTAGTTCTCTTAGTTTAAATTTCACCTTTAAGCATGTTAATTTTGGAAAATCATGATTATATTTGCCCTAGTTGTATTTGGAGTTCATAATGCCATGTTTAATGTAGTTAAATTGGGGGTTTTGATGCTTACTTGCTTAATTGCCTTATTTGTTAGTAAAATGTTGAAATGGAAACATGTTTATAACCATGATGTTTATATGCAAGAATGTGTACTTGCTTTATCATTGAAAAGTGTGAAACCTTGATCTTCTTGTTCAATAATGCATCGTCTACACCATGCCTATTTAATATTTGATAAAATGTTGCTATGGATGGGAATGCTAGATTTAGTGAAAATAGCATGATTTCTTCGTCTATGATAAATACTCACATATGATGAATTAATGAGAGGGAGTACATGCCGGGTAGGACATATATAGTTGAACTAACTATGCCCCAAATGGTCGTCGGTGAGAGGTGAGGAATAGTTAGTCAATTTCGCCTCGATAAAGTTGGTTAGCGATTTTGGTGTGGGTCGTGTGAGTTTGGGACAGTGATGGGGTTGCATTTCATAGTAAGGTCCATGGTCATTGACATTGTTAACTATATCATTTATGAGTTGATTGCTCCGAATGGTGTGTTTCCTATGATCTATGCTCCCCACTAAACATGATCCCTATATCCTATATACTTCCCTTTCTTTGGGTGTTTAGCTCATGGGAGCTTAAAGTTTATTAATATTTTCAGAGCACGGGAAAGAAGTGGTGGATGATACACCTCCACAAGCTTATAGAATTGGAGTTGCTTCATTATGACATCTTTTGTATCAAGACTCGTATAGGAGGACGACCATTTCCCGTCTATTGCTCACTTTGTACTTTTGATGTATAAGGATATATTTGAGGCCATAGTGGTCTTAGTATTGTAACCATATTCTTTTGGACAAACTTATGTATATTTGATAATCCCCCATGTAAGAGAAATGGCATTGAGACTTAAGGACTACCTTTTGAAGTCTCAATACAATTTCTCCTCCCTCTCTAGTCTTAATCTTACATACAAAATGTAAGAGGAGGCATGCGATTGAATTTTAGTATGTGTATGAAATGTTTTTTTCATTACCTCTATGATTTGAGCATGTTTTGAGTCTTTTGGGACACGTTTCAAACTACTTTTGAGGCTTCACTTCATATAATGAGGTAGCCAAATGCCTTAAGACGCTCAAACAGGGCTGTTTTGGCTCATTCTGGGACAAATGCGCTCAAGCCCTAGTCCCTCGTGTGCTTGAGCGCAATCTGTAGTGCTTTTTGCACATTATGCAGCAAATGCACTTAATCCCAATCCCAAATGAGCTTAAGCGCACTTTGCAGAGCAAGTCTAGATCTTTAACGCTAATTTCAAATGGCCATAACTCCTTCGTTTTTAATTCAAATAATGTCAAATTTGTGCTCAATTTTAATGTTTTTAAGTCTACTTTTCAATTGACTTGGTTTCACTCAAATATTTTAATCATAGAAGGAGTTATGACTGTTTAAGTTAAGCAATGTCAGGAAGTTCACTAAACTAAGAATGCGATATGTTTGGAAACCATGGCCACAGCCACTAGGACTTTGGAAAAGCTGTTAAACACCTAGTATAATGATCAATTATCATTAGTGCACCCTTATAGCTTGCATAAGAGTTGATTAATGCTTATTGCACCTTGGATTCTTCCCTTGGGCTTGGTTAAGAGCCCGGTCCGTATCCTTTCCAGTTCATGATTTGGATCCTACCAATTTGGGACGTGACATTGTGTGACTGTGTCAATTTCCAGACAATCTTATCGTCCAGAAATTACAAATGGAAAGTGCATGATTTTTTGCTAACACAGAGACTATCTGGAGAACATTGCTTTAAGAGATGTTCTACCAGGTAAATCCCTTATAGATCATATGTGTATATCTCTTAGTCTAAATAACTTTTCGCTATTTAAGGCAATTGGGTGGGATAACTTCTTGAAGCACTCAACCCTCTACTTTCCCACCTTTATCAAGCTTTTCTAAGCACACTTAGAATTCCCCTCTGAAAATTTTTGGATTGGAACCTGGAGAAATTAAGGCTTACAAACCCCATTGTCATTTCACTGGGGATGAGACCATGTCTGAAACCCATCTTCTCTCCGGTCATCAACTGCCTTTGCAAGTCAGACTTGTCCATTACTTTATTGCTCACACTATTCTACCTCGTGAGCACAATCCTCACCTTGTCACACAAAGGACATCTTTGTACCCTGGTGTGTTCTCACTTGGGGAAAACTTAATTTGGGCTTCTTAAACTTTGAACACGTGAATAGAATCAAGTCTTTACCCTATGGAATGGCACTAACTCACATCCCCGAAGGACACTTTCAATGAGAGAACAACCAGAGACATGGGGTATCAATTTGTCAATGGTCAATGGATTCACCTGCCAAAGCTCTTCCCTAGCCTGTCATTTCAGTCATCGCCAACATTCTCCATCGCAAATCAGTTCTTGACTCGCTTCATCTCAAGGTTGATAAAATGGTGGTGGATATGCCCAGTACTTCAACTCATGGAGTTCATAGTTTTTTAACTCCTCCACATGCAATATCTATCACCCCCACTTTTTTACCTCAAGGCCACCTTAGTCCATTCTAGTCCCTCTATTTTTTATACATCTTTTCTTTTTCATGCTTTTAAATAGGAATCCTGCAGTCAAATCTCTAAATAAGGATTATAGTATGCATGTTAATCGGTTAGATTCTTAGTAACATTAGTAGTCTCATATCACAAGTTTTATACATAACATCCATTAGCAAAGGACCACTATTACCAGAAACATTGAAATAAGACAATAACATAACTTCACATTTACATTTCAAATGCATATTGGGTAGCAATTTTTTATGTGCTCAGGTTCTTTTAACTATTTTCTGAATTGTGTCAAACTTTCTATTTCTAATTGATACAAAGGATAAAACCTTTTTTATCATTACTTTTACAAAAAAAAAAGAAATTAAATAAATATATAACCACTAAAATGACTAAATAATCAGTAAAAGTTAAGTAGTAAATTCTCCTGAATAGTTTCTATAAAATTCAGAATGATACCTACACAAACAAAAAATAAAAATTCTAACCACCAAATAAATAATAAAAAATTTCAAAATGATTTTAAAAATGTTAATAATGTTTAGGAACATTGCATCATGTTTTAAATAATATAATTTAATAAAATGAAGGGATAGTGATAGAAGCATCCAAAGACATGCAGCTAATGAATTGAGTAATGTATATTCAATTCTATGATCGCTTGAACCAAATGATGTCAAAGAAAGGAATTAAAGGAGCTTACTCATCTTTTAAAACCGATCCAGACAAATCTGCAATTTCTCTTAAAGCTTCCTTCCACCTCGTTATCTTGTTCATTCCTTCTTCTTTTCTTTCATTTGACTCCGACTGCAATCTCTCTTCGTGTTTTGCAAATGCTTCCCCAAAACTTCCCTTTAGCCACCTTAGATCAGATGGATGCACATGGTAGAATACAGGTAGAATCATATGACCAACACTCTTCTTGCGTTCAAGGATCATTAGAAGTTCATCAAGGCACCATGTTGAAGATGCATAGTCTTTTGAGAAGATAATTATTGAAATCCTGGACTCTTTGATTGCCTTTATCAGTTTTGAGGAGATATCATCTCCTCTCCCAAGCTCATCATCATCCCTAAATGTGCGTATTCCTGCATGTAGGAGAGCTGTATAGAGGTGATCGGTAAAGGTCTTCCGGGTATCTCTGCCTCTAAAACTCAAGAAAACGTGATAAGAACACCGGGTAGAGGAGGCTTCTTGGGATCCCATAGCAACCATCGAACAAAGATCAAGGAGTTCAGTGAAAAAGTGCTATAAACAATCTGTATAATCACAACACAATCAATATTTGTATATAAACGATGTCAATCAATAAAAGGTAAAGTGCAAAAAGTACCCCAACTATATACAAAATGTGCAGGAAACATTTTGTAGCAAATTGCCCCTGGTCAACAATTTTGGGCAATTTTTTTTTATAAAAACCCCAAAATACTGGGTATTTTACATATTTCAGCCTTTAGTTGTTTATAAAAGCTCCAAAAACCCCAAAATTTTTACAAGAACTCCAAAATACCCAATACTCAATTTTTTAAAAAAAAAAATTCAACTTTTTTAATTATAAAAATCCCAACTTTTTAAATAAGTTCTATTTTTGTTTTTATTGTTTCAAGGGCATTTTAGGTATTTTAGTCTTCAAATCGAAAAAATATCCTTATTTGCTCAATTTAGAAAATTTAGGGATTTTTTTTTAACACCATGGGGGTATTTGCATATTTTGTATATAGTAGGGGGTTTGCACTTTACCCATAAATAAACAAATATACTGAAACTTTGAAAAAAGCCAAAAATAAAAAATAAAAAATAAAAATAAAAAATAAAAAATAATTTCCTATATATTCCCTACATAAGGAAAATGCTATATATATACATATAGAGAGAGAGAGAGGCAGCTTAATAAATTATACAAAGGCAAGGGTTTAATGGGAAAAACATATTACAAAAAGTGCAGATAATAACAAATGCTGTAAATTGGCGTGACAAAGAGTTTAGCCTAACTCAATAACTCAACAAAATATTGTCTCAATTATTTGATCACCAGAACCAGTACTCTCTTTGACATAATCAACATCATCATCATCAATCTTCCAAGCAATTAAACAATCAATCCGATGTGTGTGTGTATATATATATATATTATTGGTGTTTCTTAACCTTAGAATCTTAGATCTTTCAAAGCATATAAACCAAGATAAAAGAGCTAGGTTTAAGAACTTACATGTAATTAACTTATTGGTATTAAAGATTCTTGTAAATAATTAACTTGTGAGGATGAACAATGGGTCTTTCAAAGGTGAAAAAACATTACCTGTAATTGCCGAAGAAAGATCCTTTCCAGTTTTGTTGATTGGAAGAAGAGAGGAGAGAGAAAGAGAGAGAAAGAGAGAGACTGGTGAGCAAGATTAAAGAGGATCAAGATTAAAGAGTAGTGAGAGAGTAGAAAAAGAGAGGAGGAAAAATAAATAAGCATAGGTGGCATCCACTGAACGAAGCTTCCTTGGAATTTCTGGTGGGAAAAATTCTTGACTCTCTGAGTCGTGGCAAGTAAATGAGACTTCTATTTTTTCAAATTTGTCGGCCGTTTTCTTCCTTTCTTTTCACTTCAACGGAATAATGCTATGTTCGATACGGTGGGTGGGAATAAAATGAAAGGATAATATTAGTCATAAGAAAGGAAATAAAAAAAAAAAAATGATAATTTTAATTCCCTATTCTTAGTTGATTAATAAAATAATAATAATAATAATAATAATAATTATGTTTAGGAAATGAAAGTATTTTAGTAAATTCATTATTATGTCCTTTTATATTTTAAAATATAAATTTATAGGTCCAAATAAAAAAATAATAATAATAATAATTTACAAAATCTGAAGTTCAAAACTCATATATTTCAGTTTATATGTCTATCTGCAATAATCTAAAGTTCAAAACCTATTACCTATATCAAAGCCCATATCAGCTTATCATTTCAGATTGGTCAAAAAATCAAAACTTATATCTTTTAGTTTCCATCGCCAGCTGCTCCAGTTCGGGTTCGCTGTTCGCAAGCTTCTCCAGTTCGGGTTCGCTGTTCGCAAGCTTCACTGGCCCGCCTTCTCTCAACTCTCTTGCCCCCCTCCCTCTGTAAGTGCTAACTTATATGTATACATGCCCTAAAATCAAGTGTAATCTTGAGGGTAAAATTGGCATCACAAATGATATATCAGGCCCATGCATCACTTTCCTTCCATTTTCTCCCATTTTTGAGAGGATAAGGAAGTTACTGTTTCAATCTATTGATAACCTTCCAAAGCCTTCCCTCTCCTTTCCTTCCCTTTCAACTATTTTTGCCAAACACAATTTTTTAATCACTTTTTATCACCTTTCCTTTCAATTCATTTCTTTTCCATTACACCAAACTGACCCTAACATTTGGAGGAAGTCTTCCCCTCTCTCTCATTTTTTTTACTATATATATTTTTTTATACGCCCTCCTCTTCTGCTTATTTCCTCTTTCCTTTCTTACTATTTATTGTTTTTCTTCATTTTATTTGTCTTTTCTAGCTTTTCTTTCACTCCTTTTGTTGATTTTTTTTTTTTTTTACATTAATTTATTTAAAAAGAAAATTCAGCCATTGGACTATTTGATAAAATATTCACACAAGCCATCATCTGATGTTGTGACAACCATATTCCCATTATGAAAGGAATAGTCTTTAGCATTCTTTTTTTATCTTTGTCGCTCATATAATTAAAGGCGAATTTGATCCCATTCATCACTTCAATGAGTTAGGAGCATTCGATTGATTTTTTAATTCATACTCATGTATAAATCTGACCAATAACAAAATTTTAACTCACACATGTGAGCAGGGAGAGAGCCAATGAAGACCTAGCCCCATCCTCTATAATATATAGTAATTTTTAATATTTTTTCTATATATATATAAAAAAAAAATTATATAGTGTCCCCCCTAAATTTTGTGATTTTTAAAATTATCCCTTTATTTTCTCTTTTTACTCTTCAAATTCCTTAAAAGAAAAAATTAAATTTTCCTTTCTTAATTGAAACTTTTAACTTTTTCCTTTTAAATCCTCACATTTTTCTTTCCTTTTTCAATTTTCACTTTTTAAAATTCATCTTTTTAATGTGCATATTTGAATAAAAAAAAATTTCTTCTTCTTCTTTTGTATTTTGTATTTGTAATGTTTATATATATATATATATTGCACGGTGCCCCTCCTCACTTGAAATCCTAGCTTCGTCATTGCATGTGAGCTGAGATTCGTCAAATGTGATACAATCAAAGGCGAACAAAAGGGTGGGCAAAGGTGGGCTGTAGCTCACCCTAAAAAATTATATATATTTTTTACATTATTAATATTGGCCGAGACAAAAAAAAAAAAATTTAATAGTATAAGCCCACCAAATGAAACCCAAGTCAACTCAGCCACCATAGTAAAATAAAGGCCCAAACTAAATAAGCGCAGATTGATTCGTTTTGTGTTGACTTTTCCTGTTTCTACAGCAACTACGGAGAGAGCATTTTCAAGCATGAAACGTATTAAAATAACGATGCGTAGCAGGATCGGAGATGAATTTCTTGCTGGCTGCATGATCATCAACTTTGAACGGTAGCTTGTTTGGAAAATTGACTTGGAGTCTATTATTGACTAATTCGAGTCTTTAAAGGCTCATCAAGCACAACTTAGATAGATATTTTGTAATATTTGAATTCAAATGTTCATCTATATAATTTTATTTTTTGTTATTATTATTATTATTATTTTTGCTTAAGAAAATTTGTTATTAAATTTATGTTTAATATTAGCCCACCCCAACGAAAAATCTTGGATCCGCCCTTGGTTGCAACACGTACCTTACACTACACAAAATCTCGACTCCACCTTAACGAAGATTCAAATACTGATCACTTTGCATGTCCTTCCCTTTCAATTGATTTGCAAACTTCCAATTGATACAAAAGCCTCCACCATTACAACCTCCAACACTCCGTCCCCAGTTCTTGAATGGTAGCATAACCTTCAATGGGATGGACCATCGAGTCTCCAAACTGACCGAATGGAGGCCTGTCCTTATTATTTGGAGCTCTGCATATACTGGGCCTGACCTTTGGGCCTTAGGGTTGTGTAGGGCCTGGTCGGCCGGGCGCTTTGTGTTGGATCTGGCCTATTCAGCTCTGCTGACCTTTTCCACCCTTTCATCTCCAAATGCTAATGTAAAATTTACAATATAATTAGGTTGTTGCAAATAACACCTAATGTTACAAATACCCCTGCTTTTCTTACTCCAGTCTTGTTAGGTGTGGAGATTTATGAGGCTTCAATATGGTCTCTAATACATCCACATCTTTAAAATCTAGGAAAAAAAATTTTCGCACATAAACAATTAAGCAATTAATTCAAAATAAATCTTTAAATTAACAAATTTTTGTCTCTCGAATAGACTTGATTCTTTTATACCGTACTTTTTTTAAAATGGAAAATTTGACAAATAAACCAACAGTTGGTTCTACCTGAAATAATAAGTCTCATTTTGTTTCAATACTTGGTATTAGTCGACTAAAACGCTCCAACACCTGTAGTTTTTACAGAGTCCTCAAATAAGTCGTCATACAAAACCATTCTATCAGGGTTTTTTAAGCATAAAGAACTCAAGGTAGGAGAGGAAGTACGCTCTTTGATTCCCGAACTGATATGACGACAAATCACCATCATTGACATCTTGATAACAAGGATAGGTGGTGTTTTGTTGGATTAATTGTTCTTTTTCTTTACTCTTTGATTGGAGAACCTTCTCTTCTTGCTTGTCGTACACAAAGCTGATTCCACACTCCTTCATCCAAAAAGGACAACTCCACCCAACAACCGAAACGCTTAGCTCATCGCCGGCTTCCAACTGATTTCCGAACTTCCAATGGCTTAACCATGTCATTTCTTCTTCGGCTCCTGGAATCCCTATGACCATTGGGCTATATACCCACATCAGACCCTTGGTCTTATTAAGGACTTTGATATGGTATGAGTAACCATTTCCATATTCATATTTGGAATAACTTGCATAGACCAAACATATATTCAAGCCTTGGATCTTCATACTAGAAAGTGAAGGTACATTAAATGATATTGAGGTTCCCATATTCTTAATGCTGAAACCGTCTGAAAATTTGCTCCCAGGAAGAGAAGTGCTGAATATACCAAATTCATGAAGTCCCTGCGCCAATGGAAATCATAATATTTTAACTTTTACATATGCGGTTGAGAGAGAGAGGGAGAGAGAGAGAGAGAGAGAGAGAGAGAGAACACCTGAATGGGACCTTTCTTTCTTGTTTCTGTCAGTTTATTGAACAACTCCACCTCAGTGTTTCTGATTGATTTCAAGTTGCACAAGCCCAAACTGTTGACCATTTCTGCGTCAAAGTTTCCAATGGCTTCTAACTTGAATAACCCCTGAACCTCAACTAATTTCTCACAACCAGTTACATCAAAAAACAATGATCTCAACAGATTAGGTAGATTAGTTAATTTTTCTAGAGACATGCAATTTTGTGCCCTCAATGTAACTAAACTCCTTGGAAGCTCTGGAAGTGATTTGAGACTTGTGCATGAATCTAAACAAAGCTCCTGAAGCATAGAAAGACAATTGATGATATCTGGTACTCTACGAATTGAATTTCCACTTAGATTCAAGTACCTCAATAAGGAAAGGCTACTAAGATCCAGAGGAATGACATCATCAAAGAGATTGCAGTTTGCAAGACTTAGGCTTACCAACAAAGAACCCGATGAAAAGGTGATTGATTCGGAACATTTTATTGGTTTGAATACCCAAGATCGGAGGACTGCATGCCATGATTTCAATTCACCAGTGCTACAGGATAATTCACTAATAGCAACTTCATCTGCATGGAGCACTGTCAGAGATTCCAGCTTTCCCAGTTCCCTAGGCAACTTGTGGAGCTTTAAGCAACCAGAAAGAACGAGTTTTTCAAGACATTTTAGATGATCAACTTTTGATGGAAGCTCCCTAAGATTTTTGCAACCTTTTAGATCCAACAAAACAAGTTTCTCTAATTCCCCAATGGATTCGTGAAGCTCAATCAAATGTATGCAATCTTTAAGAATCAATCTCTCAAGATTAGGGACTTTTGAGAAGTTGGACATATTGGTAAGGTCATGGGAATGACTGAGATTGAGGATTTTCAAGGATCTGAGCAACTGTAAGAAAAAGTAGGAAATTAGCCAGTTTATACAAATATTGATAAAAATCCCCAAATAAAAGAAAAGAAAAAAGATTAAAAATAAAAATATCATACCTTGTTTCCCTTCCAAACTTGTTTCAAGCTGCTATATTGCATGTCAAGAACAACCAGGCACTCCAAAGGAAAGTCATTGGGTATAGATTTCAAGGAGAATCCACGCCAACACAACCATCTCAACCTCGTAGGAAATTGTTTGTAGTTCCCAGTGAGCCTTACATTATTGAGCTGGAGCAGTCTTAGATTGTGCATCCTAGAAAATGCATCAGTTTGTATGTCTACTTCATTTGATGCGGAAGATGGCTCTGTCAAGGCAGAAGTTACAAGAAGACCTAGCCGCTTCCACCAATTGCTTCCATGGAGCAATGTTGATTCATCAAGAAAATCTTCAAAATGGTGATTTTTTGTATCGTCTAAACCAAAGAAATTCTTAGCTGGCTTATCTTCCTTTGACAACTGCAAGTTGAGGATGAGGCCTTCAATGGTTTCTGTTCCCTGGTAAAGAGGACTCGTTTAGCATGCATACTATGCAACAAACACACACACTCACACACACACACACTCAAAAACATAATTCTTACAGTTTTTTCTTTCAATACATTCAAGGCATCCTCATGATGCCACAATCTGCTACGTTTCCCCGGTTCCTTAAGTGATTCTTGACTTATAATATGTCTTCCCATGTCTCGAAGCAACTGATGCATCGTCAACTTGTTATCTTCATTGATTGTTAAGAGATACCTATGAATGAGGTTGTCAATCCCAAATTTTGTGAAGTAATTACAACCATCCAGTAATGTAATTACAAAATCTTTGTCTTCTCCAACAAAGAAACAAGCAATGTCAAGGAATAAATTTTTGTCATGGTCATCTTGCAAAGAATCAAAGCTTACTTTAAGTTTTCTAATGATCTCACTGTCAGGAATTGCTACCAATTTCTTTAATGCACTTTCCCACACATCCACACTTCTCCCTGATAGAGACGAACCCAAAACTTGAAGAGCTAAAGGAAGCCCTCCACAATATTTTACAATCATTTTTGAGTGCTCCATGAAAGCTTCAACAGGGCACTCTTGTTCAAAGGCATGCCAACTGAGAAGCTGTATAGATTCATCATCAGTTAATTCCTTGACTTTGTGAATCTTATACACTTTATGTGCCTTCAACAATTGCTCATTTCTGGTTGTTATGACAATTTTACTTCCTGGATGAAACCAATCACGCATTGTGAGTACTGCATTTAATTGCTCTGCTTGATCCACATCATCAAGAACAATTAGAACTCTTTTGCAGCAAATAGCATCTTTGATCTTTACAATTCCTTCATCAACACTGCTAACTTTTACTTTTTTTCCCTTTAAAATATCTGAAAGAAGCTGTCTTTGTAACCGAACCAAACCTTTGGGTTCTGATGATGTTTCTCTTATATTTGCAAGAAAAGTGCTAACTTCAAATTTATCAAAGTTTAGGTTATAGATAGTTTTGGCAATGGTAGTCTTCCCTATTCCCCCCATCCCACAAATTGCTACTATTCCAACTTCATTTGATCCATCTTGTAACCACAAATTAATGTCATTTATATGAGAATCTAATCCAACTAGGCACGGACAAACACTCAAAATTCTGTGATTCAATTTTTTCCCAATCTCTTGAACGATTTTCTGGATAAACCTTGACTCGTACCTACACATGCAATGGAAATATAAAAATTAAAAAAGTAATAAAGCAAAGCAAATATGTCCAGATCGAGTTGAAAATGAATGAATAAGTTAAATGAAAATGCAAACAACATATAGGAGTTGTAGATTGCACAGGCTGTTCAATTTGGCCATTAGTACCCAAATATAATCATATAGCATGCTGCATTATGTGACAATATTGAATTAATAGTGTTGGGTATAAGAGTAACTATAAGAGTTGGGGTTATTATGTAAATAACCAATACTTGTAAGAATATATATTCATGAATATTTAGGGTACTCTGTAATTGAGAGAACACCCCCAAACATCTCTCTCTCTCTCTCTCTCTCTCTCTCCAACTCTAAACATGGTATCAGAGCTGAGATCCTAACCCTAGATTGTTTGTCGCCGTCGTCTTCGTGCCTATGTGTTGGCTTCATTGTCACCAAGAGATTGAGTTGTTTTCATATCATCATCATTTTTAATTGCATGGCCAGTGTTCATCACCGTCAATGTTCGTCGCCCTCGTGTTGTGGTTGTACTTTTGATATTGTAATCGTGGGATTGACATAATCAAGTTGCAGAGATATTTTAATCGAGTTACAGCATACGTCATCGAGTTGCAGAGAATCAATTGGACCCAAGTGCAGGAGGAGTGGGTTAATTCGACCAAACTGCAGATCCGACCCAATTGTGAGTCAATATGGATTAAGCAAGACTACATCAAATCATTCTGTTTTTGCGATATATTGCAAAAGTGGTACCATCATCCTAGCAGTCAATGTAGACGACATTGTTGTGACAGGAAGTGATAAAAGTGGTATTGATGAATTGAAAGAATTTTTTAACTAGCATTTTCATATAAAATACCTGGCCTAGTTGAGATACTTTTTAGGAATAGAAGTTGCAACATCTCAAAAAGGAATTTACATGTCACAAAGGAAGTATGTATGTGATTCATAAGTGAGACACGAATGTTGGAAGCAGACCCAAACAATACTCCCATGGATTCAAGTATAATCAGTCCAGATGACGAAAACCTTCTTGATCATCCAAGAAGACATCGAAGACTTGTTAAAAAATTAATATATTTAATAATGACAAGACCAGACATAACCTTTGTTGCAAGGGTGGCAAGTCAATTTATGCAGTCACCCAGACAACCTCAACTGGATGCCATGTATCGTATTTTAAGATACTTGAAGGAGCTTCTGGCAAAGGGCTCATCTTTAAGTCCTCTAAAAACATGGATATTGTTAGGTTCACATATGCTGATTGGGGAGGAAGCCAAATGAATAGGAGGTCTATATTTGGATATTACACATTTGTGGAAGGTAATTTGGTATCTTGGAAAAGTAAGAAGCAAAATGTTGTAGCTAGATCAAGTGCAGAGGCAGAATTCAGAGTAATGGCCCCCATACTGCCTGTGAAATGATGTCGGTTAAATCTCTTTTACAAGAGATGAGATTCTTCAACAATAAGCCTATGAGAATGATTTGTGATAATCAAGTTGATACGTACATTGCTAGTAATCCAGTATTTCATGAGAGGACTAAAACATATAGAGATTGAATGTCCTTTTGTGAGAGACCAAGTAAAAAGATAGTTACTACTTATGTGAGATTCAAAGATCAATTAGGAGATGTACATCATGTAATTACCAAGGCATTGGGAAATCTCATTTTTTGAAATTATATAAAAAGTTAGGAATGATAGATATTTATGCTCCACCTTCAGGGGGAGTGTTGGATATAAGAGTAATTAGTTATACGAGTTGGGGTCATTATGTAAATAACCAATACTTGTAAATATATATATATATATACATGAATGTTTGGTGTTCTCTGTAATTGAGAGAAAACTCCCAAATGTCTCTTTCTTCTCTTTCTCACTCTCCAACTCTCAACAAATAGAATAGTTAATAATATCTTAAAGGAATATGAAAGGAGAAAAAAAATAAAATAAAAAAATAGTTGGATAATACAAGAGGATTTGCAAAATTATGAATCTAACATAGGAAAGCAACTTCATGATAAGGGTTTCCTATTTTCGCAACCCTAACGGTATTTTCATTTTTAAAGCTTCATCATTGTCTTCTCTTCTCTTCTCTTCTCTTCTCTTCTCTCGCTTTGTGTGTGTGTAAATTTTGGTGTTGGGCGTACCTAGTCATTGGTAAAAGAAGAAATATAAAAAGAAGAAAAAGCAAAGAATTGTGTAAAGGCTTGAATGAGATAAATCACTCACTCACAGCTCTAGTATTTATAGATAAAAAAGAGCACATGCACATATTACAAGAAAAAAAAATTAAATCAAATCACATCATATTCTATGGCTAGACATATGCGTAAATAAAGTCAAACTCCATGATCCGTGGCTATCAAATCTCTGCTAATATAGTAAGTCATTCCATAAATCGTGGCTATCATATCTGCTAACAATCTCTGTTAATATGGTAAGTCATACAATAAATCTTGTCTATCATGTCTGCTAACACTCCCCCTCAAGTTGGTGTGTAGATATCTGAAACGCCCAACTTGGACAATGTATTCTCAAACACAATCTTGACGCCCTTTGTCTAGAAGCTGCTGAGAGCTTGTGACAAATAGAGTGCAAATTTGATGAGAGATGATCTTCTCTCGAATGAAGTGACGGTTCACCTCTATATGCTTAGTCCTGTCACGGGATTTGCTGCTATGCTAATGGCAAACTTGTTGTCACATGAGAATGGAAGCAACATTGTTCCTTCATGTTTATTAGAAAACGAACAACTATTGACTCAATAACAGGATCATGAAGAGCAGGAGAAACCTGATAAGGAGTTGAAGGTGTATGCAAGAAGACACAAGGATAAGACTCTTTCTTTCCCTCCTTGCCAATCATTACCCTCTGACTCAGGTAATCCTAAGTTACCCGCTACTATTTATGATCATACTCGTGATGTTTGTGATACTGATGTTCCAATTGCTCTTCGTAAGGGTGTTAGGTCTTGTATCAGGTGTTAGGTCTTGTATCAACATCCAATATCTAACTTTGTTTCTTATCAGCGTCTTTCTCCTTTTTATTGTGCCTTTGCATCCCAGTTGTCTTCTGTATCTATTCCTCAAAATTTAAAAGATGCATTTTCTGATCCAAAGTGGAAAACAGCTATGTATGAAGAGATGACAGCTCTCAAGAAAAACGATACTTGGGAATTAGTTGAGTTGCCTACAGGGACAAAGACGGTTGGATGCAAATGGGTGCTCATAGTGAAACAGAATGAGGATGGCTCAGTTGAGAGGTATAAAGCCAGATTGGCAACGAAAGGCTTCACACAAACTTATGGGAGTCATCAAGAGACGTTTGCTCCCGTAGCAAAGATGAATTCTATCCGAGTTTTACTCTCTTTGGCTGCAAAATTTGGTTGGTCACTTCGACAGTTTGATGTGAAGGCGGCCTGCCTTCATGGAGATTTAGAGGAGGAAGTGTACATGGATGTTCCCCCAGGCTTTGAGTTTACATCATCTAACGGCAAGGTATGTAAACTGAAGAAAGCATTGTATGGGCTAAAGCAATCTCCTGGAGCATGGTTTGAGAGGTTTACCAAAGCTATGCGAAGATTTGGCTATAACCAAAGCCAAGGAGATCATAACATTATTCATTAAGCATTCACCTCAAGGAAAGGTATCTGCATTAATTGTATATGCGGATGATATAGTGTTGACTGGAAATGATGTAGAAGAAATGTCAAAGTTGAGGACCTACCTAGCTAGTGAATTGAAGATAAAGGATTTGGAAAATTTAAAGTACAATACTTCCTAGGTATTGAAGTTGCTAGATTGAAGCGAGGGATCTTCATCTCACAAAGAAAATATGTGCTTGACCTTCTCAAAGAAACAGGAATGTTATTGATACACCAATTGAACAAAATCACAGATTAGGAGAAGATAGTCAAGATGCTCCGGTTAATATAGGTAGATATCAGAAGCTTGTGGGGAAATTAATTTACTTGTCACACACTCGTCCTAATATTGCTTACACAGAGCCAATTTGGGATTGCTGTTAAAATGTTAAAAGCGCTTTTAATAGTAGAGCTGTTATAAAAGTGTTGTCAATAAAACGCACTTAAGCGTTTGGTGACACATTGTATAAAGCACTTTTTATACTTGAAGCACTTTTAAATTTGTTTGGTAATAATATTGCTTAAAGCACTTTTATTACTAATTTTACTATATTACCCTTACACTAAACAAATACTAATTCCCTAATTTTAAATATTATAAAATTTCATTGAGTTCAATAATTTATAAAGATCAACTTGTATTGGTTTTTTTTTTTAATTTATTTTTATTTTTTTTTAAATATCACATATTTTGTTTGTGATATCGAATTTGTATTGAGTACTAAAATATAAATAAATTAAATATATTTTAATGATGATAATTTGTATCTGATTTGGGATCTTCCAGTAATAAAATAAGCAAATTTGTTCATATGCTATCTAATAATAAATTTTAATAATATAATATTTTGCAATATAGACAACATTTCATAAAATAAAACTAAACATTTTAACCACAATTAATAATCTTATTACTTTTTATTTAAGATAATAGTATAAATATATTATACTTATTTTTAAAATAAATTACAAATCATAATTTATTAAAAATTAAACATCTAACAATTATTTAATTCAGAGTCTAAAAATAAACTGAGATTGGAAGGCTGAAGAGTCCTAAAATAAATTAATTTTAGTTTGTTACAGAGTCTATATTGTTTGCTATTCGTTTGTAGAAGGGATACAATTGTATTTATAAAAAATATAAAGGGAATGAATTGTCTAAAAGAAAATCAGTTACCTAAAAACACAGTCCTCTACCTTAACGCAATTTTAAAAGCTACGATAACTAACTTCATTTAAACGTGCTTTTCAGACCTAACCTCTATCATCTATAAGAGCTTTTTTTTTTCACCAAACACATTGCACCGCATTTTTTTAGAATAAAAGTGCTTTTCAGTAGTAG